AGTGTTTGTTTATATTCCTTACAATTTATTATCAATAATTAGTACTCAGACTTGAAACCTGTTGTAAAACTTACATGTTATTTCTGTCAAAAAAATCTGGAAAATTCAAAAACTTATTTTATATATTAAGGAAGATAGCCAATTGCTTCTAATTACCGTTAGTTATATTATCATCACCAAAGTGAATTTCATCTTTAGTAGTGATAGTCTCAGGAACTGGGGTTATTTCGATGCATTCGCCAATTGCTCCACATTTGTTTTGAATTTCATCGATTAAATCTCTTATTAAGTTTTCCAAATTATCAACTTTTTTATTCAAATCAGCAATACCCTTCCTGATATCATCCAAATTATCATTGCACATAAGTGCACAATCCTCTTCTACATTCGCCAAAACTAAATATTCAGCTTCAATTCTTCTTTTAAAAGACGACAGATACGAAAAATTGGAATGTTGAATTTCAATTTCAAGATTTTCAAGCCTTTCTTTTAAACTTTGTACGTTTTCACATGTTTTGTCTTCTGATTCGATTTCGATAAGTTTTTGGTTTAAAGTAGAGTATTCTGAATTGAAGCACATTGCATACGCTTCTTGTGCTAAATTGTTAACTTCTATTAAACTATTTCTTGCGCTTTTGTCGATGCATGGATTTGATGGTAAATACAAATAAATTAAGCCATTTAGACTTTCAAATACATTAGATTCGACGTGCAAAATTTTATTTGTTAGCCAAATAACCTTTAAGTTTGGATTAAAGTCAAAGGTTCCAGCTTCAATCACCTGAATGTCATTATCATATAAGTCAAGCGCTTCAAGTTTAGGAAAAACTTTTAAATCAATTTGATGTATTTCCTTAATTCGGCCATTATTAAGGTCAATCATTATGATATTTTTAAATATTTTATCTAATCCCCGAGGAAAAAATTGAATATTTTTGCCACCGTTTTGATCATAAATCCCCTGAACATCATCATGAGTTTTTCCACTGCTGTGATTTGTGCTTACAGAGGTAATTGCCATGCCAGGTGAATCTATATTCAGATCATTTTTAACTCTGCATGTATACACGGTTCCAATGGGAATGTAGTCTCCACTTGCATGATTTATAAAGTCACATTCTAAATCAACGCAAGTTGAAAGGAACAGCAATGATGCAAATTGTAGAAAAGTGCTGCGAATAAAAATTATTGTCAAAAATTGTCGATAAATTTTATTAATTGACTTACAAAAGAATTTTCATTGTTTCTGTATTTTTTAGCTCTTTGAAGCTATCTTTAGGTTTGTTGGAAATAAACTGACACAAATATTGCAAAAACCTTCAATTATAATAGAATTATCACTTTTAAAAATATCAAGCACTTCAGGAGCTATTTCAAGTAGAGTCAATTTAATTAACAAGTTGATAAGATATATGCATAATTTGATAAAATTCAAGGCTGAAAAATATTATGGTGATTTTTTTTGTTATCTTGATAGATTTGTAATAAAATATTTGTTAATCTAAATTAAGAACAATTTTTTCCGTAATGTTCGAATTTTAGCTGTCATAAACTCACCGATAAGACAGACAAATTTATAAATTACATAATCGAAGGCAAGTTAAAATAAATCTAAATTCATCTCATCACACCCAGATGTGGTCTAAAAAGAGATTTCCTCGTCGAAAATGTCAGTCTTCGCTTGTCAAAAATCATCTTTCATTTCTTACTTCTGCTTGTTCTTGTTAGATTTAATCCATTTTCTTAAGTTCTATCGATGACATTTTGAAGTCTAATTTATAAGAGATAGATTCAATTATTATTTATGAGTAGATCTAAAGTTTATGGACTTAGTTGAGGAGGTCGTCAATGGCGCAGTTATCAAAGACAAGGTTCTCATTCAAAAAACCACAACTTATCTCACAAAACCCACATTTCTACACTGCACACGATAATATCAATGGCTTTGCTGTACAAATAATTTTCTCCTCATTTTCTACATCTCCAGGGTATTTGCTTTAACAATTTGCTTCCGTTGCTGTTTAAATAAATTTAAATTTTCATTTAATCTTCATTTTTTCTATGACGATGATGCAGTTTTTTTCCTCATCATCCTCAGTTTTACTTTCAAGGATTCAGTGAGCTTGGCACGACAATGACGAGAAAATGTTAGCATGACTGGATAAAGAGTGAAAGAGAAAGAAGCAACAAATTATGAAAAAAATTTCAACTTTGATGGTTTCACAGGAGAAATTACAAAAGGGAATTTAAAGGCTTCAGGGAATGTAAGCAGTTCTATGGTTGATATCAATTTTCACTAGCGTAATTTTAGTAACGTGGCTTTATGCTTCATGACTTTTATGATATTTTTTTAAACATTTTTACGGACTTCTGTTTTGTTTGTCTGATTTTATCCCGAGTAGCACCAACAACAACAACTGGTTTTACGTCGACGTCAAGGCACCATAAAGTAGAAAAAAGCACGTCACGCCGCAAATTTACCGTTGTGGCAACGCTAAGGCTTCTTCACGCACGATTTCGCCCCATTATTTCATTGTTCAAATGGGGCGAAATCGTGCGTGTAGATGCCTTAGCGTTGCCACAACGGTAAATTTGCGGCGTGACGTGCTTTTTTCTACTTGATGGTGCCTTGACGTCGACGTAAAACCAGTTGTTGTTGTTGGTGCTACTCGGGTATGACTGTTCTATTTTTGAGGTTACCAAGTTGAATGACTGTCTGTCCGTTCGACAATCTGTCTTCGTAAATAGCTGACATAATGTCAATTTTTTATGCGGTTGAGCTTGAAAATCAACCCAACATTTTAAATTTGTTTTCCCGGTCAAAGAAACAGATAATTAAAAATGAAAAGAATCCTTTTGCTGAGAATTGAGAGACTTTTGATTGAATAATAATTTAAGCTTTCAAAGTCTTTTTACAATTTTTAAAAATCACATCAAAAGACCGCCAAACTGAGTTTTCTCTGCATTCTCAATTATTCATCCCTCAAAACTTTTCCTTTTTCAGTTCCACACTTGCAGCATGTAAAAACTGTTAAGAACCGTTGTGTTAAAATGATATAAAGAATTTTTTATTAATAATTTAATTTCGCTTGAAATGATTATGGAAGGGAAAATACTTGAAAGAAGATGAATTTATTTATGTTTTTTTCTATGAAAAAAATAAGATGATGAGGTTAGCGTAATGAAATTGTTACTCAGCAATTGATTTACTTTCCTGAAGTAGATTTAAAAATTTTAAATATGGTAGTTCTATAATTGTTGGTGTTTTGAATTTTTTTTTTATTTTGTAAGGCTAATCTAATTCAAGTATTTTCGGCTAAATTTTATTTTGCAAAAGAGAATTATTTCAATAAAATATTCAAACACTTCAAGAGCATCCAAAACCATAATAACCTTAATATTCGAAATAATCCATAATCCTCCACCGTTATGAATACACTTCCACTCAAAAGCTCTTCTTTGAAGATAATAAAATCCACATTAAATTCCTTTTGCATCCACCAATGAGAAATTATTCAAATTTTCATTAAAATTATTGTAATTAGGTTGTAATTTATTTTGTAATTGGCCTTAAAAACAAGCAATGCTTAGACTGTCAATTTATAAAATTATAAGTTGTACAAGTGCTGATTCGTAGATTTTGATAATTCAAATGATGGGAAAAAGTACTCTTAAAACTCAAAATTATCTCCTTCATCCACGTCTGATTACAAACAGATATACACTTATCTTCACGTCATTATCACCATGATCGTCAATTAATTAACGTCAAATTGACAAACTTTTTTATTTGAGCTAGTCAACAATTTGTCAAAAAAAAATCTTTTTTTCTATACAAATTTTTTCGTCTCTGAATATCTGTGTAATTATAGGCTAAATTACTTGTGAACAATTAATTTTCGTTTTAATAAATAATAAATTAATCCTATGAAAGAAGAAGAGCAGGAGGTTTTTTATTATTATTATTATCATAGTAGCTTTAATCGTCTGCTTTTTTGCTAAACATTTTCCTCGAAAATGAGGTTAATGGATTTCTTGTTTTGACTGCTATTGGAGTGAAAGTGTGAAGTAATTAACATTTTTTTTGATTGATTTTTAAATTTTACCAGATCAATATTCAGTTTTTAACTTAAAAATGTTCAATATTTGAGCAAAATGATCAAAAGTCACAAATCTACCCCTTAAACCGGCTCTTTTTTTATTAAGGTATTTTTCACTTCCATCACTTCGGTGAGTTTATTTGACTTGCACGACAATAACTTTGAATTATTGGGTATACAAAAAGCAAACGACTATTGACATGTCATTGAGTTATATTGGAAATAAAGCTATATCGTGATAAGACTACTTATTATTTGATGGGAATAAATCTCAAATATTTCATTCATTTGTCATTTGGAAGGTACAGGTGAAATACAATGTCAGTCGTTATTGGGTTCATAAAAGTCTCGTGAGCTTTGAAACTTATGGCAGTGCCTTAATGTCTCTCATAAATCTTTGATGACTGATAAGCTGATTGTTAAGCTTTTTGATATAAAATGTTTTGTTTATGATGACTGTAAATGATGATGAATTGTTGTGGAATTTAAATTTACTCGCCTCCCTTTGTGGAACTGACTACGCTGCTGTTAAACTTCAATGTTCATCTTCCATAGCGTATAAATTTCTATTAGATTTAAAGATGTTTTTAAATTCTGTTTGAAACTTTATAATTCTTTAACATCATTTCCACTTATTTCATTTTGCTCATTTTTCACATCTTTGATCGTGTCAAAAAAAAATAAAAAAAACTTTTTAAAAAATTCAAATTCAATCTAAAAAGACGATAAAAAGAAGAGAAATTTGCGACCTTAAATTAAATTTGCATGTAGCATATTTCACATTCAAGAGCAGGAGTCACAGCTACAATGTCTGTGAAAGCTTACTCGTCCACAGTCATCTCATAAGTAATTTTATTTCATAAAAATAAATTTGATTATTTTCTTTCTTTTTCTTTATAGTGAGTGCCGGGATATAAAGAAGAGTGCTGTGCTTATGTGAGAGCTCTTTACCATTTGCTTTAAATCAACAGCACAAGAAGCATAAAGAAGGAAGGAAAAAGTGTATCAATGTGTAAATAAGAAAAGTAAATAAAATCAATAGGAAGTGCGGCAGTGCAAAGTGTAAAGGAAGAACGGAAGAGGAAAGGTAGCACAAAGTAAGCTATAAAATTGTTTTATGATATAAATGGAAGGACCAAGGACAAATGCGGAGTGAGAAAACAAATTTCTCAAATGCACGCACGCTTGATATTCCGTTTTTCGTGAGTATGATAAGGAGAAACTGTTTACCCTTGTGGAGAGTTTCGAATCTGAACCTTTAGATTCTGAATCTTTTTTATCCGAACCTTTTGATTCCGAATCTTTTGAATCTGAACCTTTTGATTCCGAATCTTTTGAATCTGAACCTTTTGATTCCGAATCTCTTGTATCTGAACCTTTGGATTCCGAAACTTTTGTGTCTGAACTTTTGAATAACAAAAATTGGCTTTTTACTGGTTTTTCCTGCATAAACTTACCACAAGGGATTAAAATCATAAAAATATTTCAATTTAAGTATCACCATTAGAGAGAAAATAAAAAACGGCTGTAAATATTTATAAGAACAATTTATTGAGTTCCAAAAAAATACGAATAAAAAGTCTTAACAAATGAAAAAGATGTCGTCTTTTGCTCTGCTCCGTTCCTTCTCTACTGATACCCAGAATCCAACACCACCAATATCTTCCACCCCGAGTCCATATACACCGCCAAAGAATCTAAAAATGAATAAAAGATTTTCATTTCATCAGAAGCAGCATCAAAGCGTTAAAGACCCGATGGAGGCAAGCTCATTGATTCGCATTGAGAATAACAATAAAAAATCAAAAGCATTAACAAGACGCTGGTCGTCATTGAAGCAATATCAAACGACAGCATTATCACAACAATCATTAGCAACAGGTAGCAGTTGCGTGACGTCATCAAACCCTTCCCCACAAAATGCTCCAAGTGACGTTCATCAACGAAATTCAAATATTAATAGTAGCGGTGATGTAAAGAAGAAATGGGAAGTGATTGAACATTACAAAGGCAGTGCCAATGGACGTGAGACTATTAGCAGTAGCTTACTTGCAGTAAGTTTCTTATTTGATAAAGTTTTTTATGTTTTGTCGTGTGCGTGGTGCTAATTAAGAGGTTAGAAATATGTTTTAGGTTTGTTTTGGATCTAAATGCGATTTGGATGTTTTATATATTTAGGATAGATTTTTGACTGTCTAAAGATTCAATTAAACATTCTTTGATGTTCGAACCAAAAAATATCTATCAAAAGCCCGGATATTAATAGTCCCTACCACAAAAGAATAATTTCCTTCCTATCAAATGTAATTAAGGAAGAATCCTCGAACATTTTTGCGTCTTTTTTATTCTCATTTTCTCATTTTAACATCATTACAACTTTTTCTTAGTGAATTCACATAAAAATGACCCAAAATGGTAGGCAATCATTGTCAGTCTGTAAGCTGTAGAAAAATTTGAGAAAAACTAGCTTGATACCTGCTTATTATGACAAGGTTACTCCATTAAACTGCCAAATTATAAAATTGTCGTGCTAAAACAATGCGTCTTCTGTGTTGAAGCATCGAAAAGTCAGAATTTAAAAAAAAATCAATGTGATTGTGAGATAGACAAAAATTGAAAATTATATAGAATAAAATGTTATTTTTAAGTCTTCAACTTCTTTCTTAACTCCTTATTAAATAAAACCTTTTAAATTTTAATGAAAAAAAAATTACTTTGAAAGGGTACAATTTAATGAAGGCTTCTTCCTGTCTTTTTACAATGAGCTTGTGACATTTTCCACAAAGATTTAAAAGCAAAAAGCTTGAAATAAAGCTTCGGCACGTGAAGGTGGGTGAAAAAGATGAGAGGTGTCTGAGATGTTTTAGATGTAATTTAAATTCTGTAAGTACTTGAGACTTCTAAGAATGCTATCATAAAATTTAGAAAATTTGATTTAAAAAGTTGCCATGGAGCTGCCTTTGCTTGCCGATAATAAATTTGAAAAAGTTTTTATGGTATGATTTATGGAAATACTTAGATTTTGGTTGGAAATTTATGATGAATTCTTTAGCTTGATAAGGGCATTTTCAGATAGACTGACCTGACTAAACTTGGTTCTTAATTCACAGCTGCTCATCAAATTCAAACCTTCATCTCTAAAATAATTCTTACCACAAAAACTATTGACGTCTTTCAATGATACAGCTTCTTACATATGTTTACAAATACAGCCCGCTCGTGGTATCAATAAACATTCATTCAAGGAGTGCTATGCATAGAATGAACCCCTACAATTATCACAGAAAATTTATTTTGGCAATTTAAAGAATTTTTTCCGCAAAGTCATTACAAGTGTTTTGTTGTTGGCTTTTTGGTAAAACTCATAAGAAATCAAGAAGTTAAGTAATTTTTCTATTTCAGATTTTTTTTTATCTTTACTTTAAAATGCGACCACTGATTATATTGATATTCATACAATATATTTTACAATCTCGACCTATGGCATCGAACCTCAATTTTTTAGTAAGAAGCCAATAAAGCCTCACTTCATAGAAAAAGCTTAGAAATAAAAATAAACATTTTTCATCATCGGAAATACTGGAAAATACCCAAACAATAAAACATAAATTTAGCAGCAAGAATGTCAAAAATAAAATTTCATTGATTGATTTTATTTCAAGCATTTATTTTACCATAAAGAAATGTTTTGTCCATTATGTGATTTTCAACAATCAAAATCACCCAAATAGCTTTAAACATGACTGAATAAAATATAATCCTATAAATAGAAGAAAAAAATCATTGACATAAAATAATTCAGTCAACATTAAGTGCCATTTATGTCTTCCCATTCACTCAACAAAGAATAGAAAATCATTCTACGGCTTCAGCATCAACGTCAGTTACGATAAGAGTGAACGAGAAGAGAACAAACTTTCTCATGAATTGAACAAAAAAAAATATTTTACCGCATAATAAAGTCACAAAGAAAAATTTTGTCAATGGAAAATTTTAGCGTTGAATTATCGGAAATATTTGTGCAATTTGGGTGGTTTCTGGTTTTTCATTTTACATTTTCATAGAGCATTACTAAGCAACAAGTCATTTGTTAATAAAATGAAAATTGTCGCTTGACTAACTAACCCATTGACAGACATTCAGGTCATTTATTATGCAAACAAACACTTTACGTGACATTTCAAACATTGACTTGATTGATTAGCATTAAAGCTAATGGATTTTTGTATTCGAGTAATTGGTTGACTAGGATAATTAATTGACAGATGAGCTTCAAATTAAATTTATTAAATGATTTCAGATGTAATGCCAGTTATAAATTTCACAGTTTCATCTTGATTTTATAAATGCGCACGATTTCACAATATTAAGTAGCTATCTTAACTTTTAAATCCAACTTACAAAAGAAAAAAGTAGAAAAAATCTGATTCTATGCAGACACAAGACACAATCGAAAGCTTTTATAATATAAAATGGAAAAGAACGTCGTTTGATGTTTGCCATGCAACAGGTATCAGCTATTAACATTGTATACATCTTCTCGTCTTCATATCTTGATATTCTCATAATTGATTATTATTGACAGCTCTTTTTCAGCTTAAATCAAGATTTTTCTGTGCAAATTATTTGTCATCGGTTGAAAAATGTTGAAAATCAAGAATTTTGAAGACTATCAAATTGTTAAAAAAAATTTAAAAACAAGTGTTAAAAAACAGGCGAGTAGTTTCTCTCAAAATTAACATCTCCTTAATATCTGATAACTGAATCTTAAATAAATAAGCACAACTCAGAAGCAAAATACGGTTGATCGATGAAATTTAAATGAAGTTTTATTATTCATTAATTCTAATTTCTATTTATGCATGCATTTTATATATTTTCATTTGAATATGATATGAGTTATGGCTATGCATTAATTCTCATCACTGATTTTTAGACCAAAATCATTTTGCGGCTATTTGAGCTCATTTATCATTTACGTATTTATCATGATGGGTTAAATTTTTTTAATTAGATTCTTGAATTATTTTTCATGAATTTTACACCTACAAATATCATGCAATCATTGTCCTACCAAATTGAGTGTAAATTAAGCTGTAATTTTTGCCATTAAAACTTTTTCAATACCGTCAATTTGAAATTTTTATGATTAACTTCCATTGAAAATGTTTAAATTCAATTAAACAATTCAATTGACTTTAAATCCTGATTAAACTGATTGTTGACTTAAACCCATAAATAAATTGAAAAACTCACAAAATTCTGTGATAAAAAGTGATGAAAAATTTGCAAATAATGAAGCATCAACTTACAAGCTTTCGAAGTAAGAAATAAAGTAAAATTCAATGCAGAGATTTTTGAAAAGAAATAAATTTTAATGATATGACATCATAAATCATCGTTTTCATTCGACTAAGGAAGCTCCCATTCATGACTTGATACATAATAAGGAATGTGCTCGTTTATGTGAAAAAGCTTTACGGCTGCCAATATTGATCAGTACCAGTGATTGTTAGGGAATGAATAAAATTTTTCATATCTTCAAATTTATCTTTTTTACGAGATTTTTTGTATATGTTGAGATGGAGGTGAGCAGGGGCGTAGCCAGAAAATTTTTAAGGGGGGCCGATTTTCGAAAATTAAAAAACCGTTATTTTGTATCCTTAAATCTATATTCATTCTTCATAAGTTTAAATATTCAATTCATTATTCATACATTAAATTTAATTTTTCGTGCTGATTTTGACATTTGTTTCATCACTTCCTCTACATTAACTGGTTCTTCTCTATAAAAACTTAACAAAACAATCATCAATTTATCTTGAATATCTAAAATTAAGTCTTAGTAATTTATGCACTACCAATAATAAAGATATTTCTTCTCTCTTGAGAAGATGGGGCCATATCTGGAAAAACTGCTTAATGGAGACCTCAACAGGATACAAAATTAATACAAGCTGCTTCAATTACAATAAACTGCGCTTTAAACACACAAAAGGTCTAAACTCAAGTCATTTTATGTATGCGATGAATGCTAAATATAGAAACTTTAACTTTATCGCTTCCTTCATCAATGTTCTCAAGCTCGTTACTGTAAAAAGGATGATGACTAGGATGGAAATTCAATATTTTCTTGTTGGATGAGAAATTGTGGCAAATATTTTATGCAAATTTTCGGTAGTTTTTGCTGAGTAAGGAAATTATTCGGATATCAAATTTCTCGCATGCAAATTTTGTTAATTAAAGCTTATTTAATATGTTATCCATTGGTTTCCTAACATTTAAAAGGCACAACCCGCTGAGAAATCTGAAACGATATCCATTTAAGAATGTCGATCAACTTTTCTTCCTTCGATTAGTAATTTTCAAATCACCCGTTGAGTCACAAAAACTCACAAATCCTGACAATAATAAATAAATTTTTAAGGTGACAAGAAAATGTTGCAGAAAGGAAGTTCAGTCTCGCCATAAATAGCACCCATAAAAATATTCTTCTTTATCCGATCATAAAATATTAAATGTGTTATGCTGAACACAATGTTTGTCAGTTTTATGTCAGTCACAGATGACACAAGATGCGAATGACAAATCAAAACTCCGAAAAAAGATAGCGAAAATGAAATATTTTCTGTAGGATTTATTTGTTGATGACCGACACTTGTGCGAACTTTTATTTTTTATTATCAGAAATTTCATTTTGTGTTGTGATTTAATTGTCATTAAATGAGCTGACAAGTTGTTTATGATGACAAAATATTGTGGTTGTAAAATATTGAATGAGATGGATTATTCATACTTTGCTGGCACGTGATGAAGATTTTTTGGTACACAAAGAAGCTGGATTTTAGTCTTATCTGCACAAATGATTAAATTCAAAAAAAATCTCATTCTCTAAATTACTAAAAGTTTAATCTGAAACAGAGCATCCTTTTTGGTGTCTCAAGCACGATCCTACCTCTAATGCTACATAATAGTACTCAAAATAGCTCACATAACTATCAGACTGAAAACTTTCAACATAAATCATCGTAATGAAATCAGATTAATTATCAAA